GATGCCGGGGTATCTCGACGGGCAACTCTTGCAACACCCTAGAAGGCTATATGTAGAATCCTTCCCCATTTTCTCAATCTGATCAGGTATGATGTTAATTCTAGAAACAATGTCCTTTTTTGGGAAGACATTTGGGTAGGCAACAAACCTTTTAAAGACCTTTTTTCCCTCTCTTTACTCTCTTTCCCTTTATAAGAAAGAGCCAGTTTCCAGTTTTATTTCCTCCCTAGCTTTTTCTTTGGCCTTAAACTGGGATTTTGGGTTCCTAAGAGAGTTACGTGATGATGAAAGTGCTAGTGTTTTTGAACTATTGTCTTCACTTGAGTCTATTTGCTTAGATCCCCTCAAACCTAACACAAGAATTTGGACCCCTAACCCGAAAGGCTTTTTCACCTTCTCTTCTTTCTTCAAGTCCCTCTGATCCACTTTTGCACCTTAGAACTTCCCAGTTAAAGAATTTTGGATTAGACCCATTACCCCAAAGATTATTGTTTTTTGTTGGGAAGTTTTTTATGGTAAGATTAATACCTTGGAAAACCTGCAAAAGAGGAGACCAAAATGGTGCTTATCCCCTAATTGGTGTGTTCATTGTAAAACTCAGAATGAGGACTGTCACCCCTTATATCTCTTGCTCCTTTGTTGCAGCTTTATGGAATTGGATTTTTATGTTGTTTGAGTGTAGGTGGAACCTGTCATCTGATACTATCTTGTTGTTTAGTCTGTTTACCTTTATATGGCATACAAAGAGAGGGTGAATTATGTGGAAGTTCATAAGAGCAGCTTTGTTGTGTACTGTTTGGGAAGAAAGGAACACCAGAATTTTTTGTGAAAAAGAAAGGAGTTCCTCGGAAGTTACAGAATATATTTTGACAATGCAATTCAGTGGCTGAAAACTCTAAATCTCTTTGATGCATACTCTTTCGATGACCTATGGAGAAACTGGTTAGCAGTGGCTAACACTAATACTAGGAAGGACAGATATGTGGTTGAATGGATGCCACCTGGGGAGGAGTTTGTTAAGCTGAACTTTGATGGGAGTAGCCGAGGTTACCTTGGACCTTCAGGTATAGGAGGAGTGCTGAGAAACAAAGACAGTAGTATTATATCTTTGTATTCAGGTCCTGTGGGTGTGGGAGACTCTATAAGGGCCAAATTACTTGCTGTTGTGCAAGGAATCCAGATCTCAAACCAGCTAGGAATAGAGCATCTGATTATTGAAGGGGACTCCCAGGTGATTGTGGGTTGGTTGCAGGATCCAGACTCTGTGATCTGGGCCTATAGAGATCTTCTCAAAAAGGTTAAATGGATAACAAGGAATATGACAATCAGAATTCAGTGGATAGGCAGATCAGAAAACTCAATGGCTGATTCACTTGCAAAACAGGGGGTTTCTTGGGCTACTTTATTTTGGGCTTTTGTGTAATTTCTTTTGAACTTATAATTCTCTAACTAGTTTTAAAGGAAAGGTTGCACTTCGTGCCTTTCCATGGGTTGCCTATACCTCTTATTTGCTGGTTTAATAAAATCTTATTCATAAAAAAAAAGGGTTCAGCCCCTATATTTCTTGAATTTTCTTTTCCTTCTTTTCTTCTCCTGAATATGTTCATTTTCTACTTTAACATGAACTATATACTTTTCTTATGAAAATTATGAATAATTATTAAGGAAATATGGTTATAGTACCTAGGGAACTACCCTAGGATTTATGTTTTCTACATAAAAAAAATCCATCGCCTAGGTGACGCCTAGGCGACTAGGCGACAAGGCACCCCCTATCGCCTAGCCTCGCCTTGGTGCCTTGAAAACTACGCTCCAGACAAATTTAGCTCTCAAGCTGCCTCTTAATTTTGGCCATAAGGAGAAGGTTTGTGCTGAAGAAGAATGTTGAAAGGTGGGCATCCCAAATAGGAAATAGTAGAATCTCCAAATGAAATTTGCTAAGTGGCAGGAGAAAGCATAAGAGGCAAAATACCATTAATAGCTTTCCAAGGAGAACACTGAGAAGCCCTAAGATTGAGTCCTGCATCCCAGTCGTTATCTACCATTCCATGAATACTAACAATCACTCTTGACCATAATCTGTCATGTTCCGTCGACAATCTCCAAATCCATTTCCCTAGTAGGGCCGTATTCCTTAATCATATATTTCCTATTCCTAGGCCTCCATCATCCCTACTCCCAGAAACCACCTCTCACTTCACTAGGTGATCCTTCTTAGTGTCCCCTGGTTCCCACAAGAAATCCCTCATTAACTTCTCTTGTTGGTTTGCTACTTTCACTGATACTCTAAAGGTAGAAAGGTAATGAATCGACAAGTTGGCCAATGTTGACTTAATTATGGTTATCCTACCCCCTAGAGAGATGTAATTCCTCTTCCAATTTGCTAACCTCTTAGAAAATCTTTCAATCACAGGGTACCAAAAGCTATCTTCCATTGGGTTCCCTCCCAGTGGTAGCCCCAAATATTGTGATGACCAATCCCCCACTTCACACCCCAGTATTCTAGCTAGGGAACCCACCCCCTCACTTCACACCCTAGTACTCCTGCCACACAACTTATGCCCCAATTCACTTTAAGATTGGACTTCTTTTTAAACCATTAAAACTTAATTTTAATGGTTAAAATCTTGAAGTTCAGGATCGCCGGTAATAGGAGTTGAGGGACAGCTTAGGTCACTCTCTTTCTATCTACTCAGGGTCAATAGGAGGAGATTTGACATGTACCAAATTGAATGCTATTGTTGTAGAGGATGGATCTAGAGGAGTGGTGGGATGGATGAGAACATGGTTCAAAGTATTGATACATATCATACCATATTGTACAATATGCATTGGTTTTTAGGGGGGTTGGTACTTCAAATAATGAGATTTCAAGAGAGTTTAAATATTCAGATGTTAATATTGTACAGCAGTATTGATTATTAGAATAAACTACCACATAAAAGTTTAAAGTAGAAAAAATATTGAGGCTTTTACACACTCAATATTTTGCCTTTTGCTCTATCAAGAGTCATGTTTTCTGTCAAATTATAAGTTAAATCCTACTTATTTTGATAATGATGGGGTGTCAGTCAACCATGGGATTTACTTATATACTATAGTATATTTTGGAGTTGTTTTTGGCTTGTATAGTTGCAGTAGGATTAGTAGAATGTCATCAAAGTTATTTTAGGAGCTAGAATTCTTATTTTAGTGACCCAATGAGTTACCTATTGAGTTTCCTTTGTACTGAAGTGGTTAGAGGTTGTTATAGGTCAATTTTTGAGTTTAAATTGGAGTCTGTAATGGGAGATCCGAGTCCTTATTTGTAATCTATAAATAAATTCATTGCAATTGAAATTTTAGAGTTGAATGAATGGAATGGAAGTTTATCTTGAGGTTACCTGCAGGTAAGTTTGTGATCTTCATTTTCTCTCTTTCTCTATCTTTTTCTTCCTAAGGTACAACCTTTCTTCTCTATTTTGGAGATGGATCTTTTTTTCCTCATAATTCATATCCTTTATTTCTGTCTTCGTGTCACCACATTCATCCTAGTAGGACTTCCTCCTTCCTAACTTACATCAGCTGGGCTTGGGTTGAGTTGGTTGGCCAATTCAAGCTTTGGGTTGGGCCAGATCCAAGCCTTGGGTTCAAGTCTTAGGTTTGGCCTGGGTAGGCTGCAAACCCACCTCAACCTGTCCAAGTTGCACAATACCAAGAGATGCTATTCAAGTTAATATATCACACATTCCATGCCTTCAGTCCTTAACAGTGTTTTTTTGTGGACCCATATATCACCATGTGCTGAAATGTAGATAATCATGTTATAATTGGTGAATGCAGTATCTGGTAGTTGAGCCTATCATCACTATGATTATGACTGAAAAATGGGAGTCTGAGCTCTTGGTTGAGTGTAAGGGCACTCATTGTATAACCAAGTACATTTTTCCCTTTCAGATCAGGCTTTCCAAATGATGCATAAGCAACTCTCATTTACTCTACCTCACCAAACAGTCAAACTTTGTTGGCTCTTCCTCTCCCCTTTGTCTCTTTCTCCAAGTTCACTTCACTTTTCTCTCCATGTCCATAAAGTATGAGGTGATGTTAGAATCTATTCTTGCCAAAAGCACAACTAGAGAGATGATAAAACTGTATTCTGTTAGAATCTATTCTTGCCCAAAGCACAACTAGAGAGATGATAAAACTGTATTCTTTCCTTAAGTGATTGCGGAGAGAGGAGGAGAAGGGGAAGGGGTGCATGGTGATCCCTTATTTTCATATATGATATTAAGGGATTTGCTTTCAGTTGCAATTTATCACCGTCAACAACAACCTGTCAGGAAGGGGATCTGAAAACCAAAACTTATGAACATTTATCTTTTTGTTCATGCATGTTTAAGCCAAGTTTGACTGATCAACCTATTTACTAGGTTGAGTTTTCAGTCAGTTGACGTGGACAAGGTCAACCTTTCCAGGGGCTGACCCTGCCAGGTCCTTGGTCAACTTAATCTGGATCTGGTGATCCATGACCAGGATCATTGAGTTTTGAAAAACTGTCGATGTCTAGTTCATTACCTTTGTAAAAGTGGGGAAATCCTTCGCTTTTTTCAGTACAAATTCAAGGGAGGAAGATGAATGCAACAGCAAATGTTCTAGGTGTTTAGTTAGGTTGATTGTGGATAGGGATCTTTTGTATGGTGAAAGCTCAATGCTTTATGAGTTCTTGTCAGAGGTTTGGGCTGTTCAGGCATATGTTTTGTAAGAGGACTGAGCAATATAGTCATACTTTTGGATGTACCACTTACCTTCTAATAGATGTTACCATTGTTTTGTTTGGTTTTAGGATGTATACTTGATGCTTTATATACAGTCTCCTATGGTTTTAGCCTGAAAATTTTTTTCATGCATTTTTTACTTGTCTCAAAAACTTGTGTATTTTGTTTCTATTTGGTGTTTTTAAGTTTTCCTTTCGTTCCTGTTTTCTATTGCATTCTAACTCGTAAAAGCCTTGAAACTTGCAGGTGTTTTTGCCATAAAAAGACCATTGACATGGGCTACATCTGTTCAGTTTGCTTATCTATATTCTGTAAGCATCACAAGAAATGTTCAACGTGTGGGTGAGTAATTTCCATAGATACTGCTTCCATGTAATGTCACATCATAATTTGTACATTGAGTTATTTTATTATATTCACGTTAAGGCTTTATGGTGGGTTTTTGCTAAGCTTGTCAGTTTTTGGTCTTGCTTTTTTATAAAATGTTTCTACATCTCGTTCCAAAAAATAGGGTTTTCTATAGGGACAACACTTCAGGAGAAACATGGTAGCATTCAGAAGCTTGATTTTTCTTGCACATGCTTCAATGTCATATCAGCATCTTGTGAGAGAACTTTTTTCTATAACATTCCATGTTTCATTAATGCAAAACAGGGGTTGTTTCTTGAAAGATTCTCTCCTCTTGAACTAAAAAAAGAGCCTTGAGAATGGGTTTCCCCATTTTTACTTATGTGGCATAAATAAAATCTTGCAAAACACTCCCTAAGTTGTTTGAAAGTGTTAAACCTTTTCTGCAGATTCTTTGTGCTCTTTGATCCAATCACATATAACATTCGTTCATGTTTTTTTCCTGTTTTTTATGAATAACAAAATCTTCTAGTGCTGAAATGTTTATAATATTGTTTCATGTTGAGGAGGTCCTTTCGTATGCCACAACTTTATTTCATTCTGCGTTCATAGATTTCTAATTAGACTGCAGTTATGGCTGGCAATACATTTTAATTTCCTTGGGGCCTTTGACTTAACATTTATGAGCAATACATTTTTTGTATTTCATTAGGGGCCATTACTTGGTGTCATGTAAAATCTCAGGCTTTCAAGTGTGAGAATCCAGGTTCAAGTATGAGGGAAGCTGCTTTGTGCAAAAATATGTTGAAGGTTAGGACTATACCTAGTGTTCTTCTCCTAAGACCCCAGACATCTAGGGCCAATATTGGGTTATGACCTTTTGTGTTTTTTGTATTTCACTAGCAAATGTGCATGTGCTTTTGCATTTGGCAACTATACATGATGATGATGATAGTAAAAATATGTTTCCAAATTTTTGTACAATTTTTTATATTTCTCTGTGTATAAAAATAATTCTTATTTATCACACTTATTTTTGTTTAATTTGATGAATATATGATATTTGAGATGTATCCAAATGCTTTCTACAAAATTTTTGTAATGTTTTGTGTTTTATCCTTTTAATTTATATTATTTAATTATGACATGAAGGGTTGACACATTTGTTTGACTAAAAAGGTTGGAGTGTTGACCCACCACTAAACAGGAAAACAATTCCATTTTTAGGTTTAAATTTTGTATTTTATTTCCATCATCAATAAAAACAATTCTTCTTTTAATATGGTCATTATAACAATGTTAGAGATCTGCCCAAATATTTTCTACAAAATTTATGCATTTTTGCAATTTTTTGTGCTTTTATCTTTCTTTAATTTTTATTTTTTAATTATGACATCAAAGATTGTCATATTTGGCCTGAAAGGTTGAACTGTTTACCTGCCACCGAACAGGAAAACAACTTCAGTTTTGGGTTAGTTTTAGATTTTTTTTTTTCATTTCCACAATCGATTAAAACAATTCTTTTTTATCAGACCTAATTTTTTTAATATGATTGGTATTACATATTAGAGATGTGCCAAATGTTTTCATAATTTTTTGTGCTTTTTATCCTTTTTTTTTATTAAATTATGATATCAAGGTTGACACATTTGACCTGAAAGGTCAAACTATTGGCCCAACACCAAATAGGAAAGCAATTTCATTTTTGGGTTGGTTTTAAATTTTGTATTTTATTTCCATCATCAATAAAAACAATTATAGTTTATCAAACTTATTTTTCTTTATTATTATGATTAACATAAAATATTAGTGATTTTCTGTATTCTTTCGTATTTCTATGTTTTTATTTTTCAAGTTTTTATTATTTATTTTGACCTCAAAGGTTCACACATTTGACCCAAAAGGTTGATTGTTTACTCACCACCAAATAAGGAAATGATTTTATTTTTGGGCCAGTTTTTTTTTTTGTAGTCTTTTCCAACAAAAATAAAACAATTGTTATTTATCACACTTATTTTTCTTTAATACGATTGTTGATTAATATAAAGTATTAGGGGTGTGCCCAATTTTTTACAATTTTTTATTTTTATAATTTTTGTATTTATTTTTATTTTAAAAGTTTTATTAATTAACTATGACATTATGGGTTGACCCATTTGACCTGGATGGTTGAATTGCTTACCTGCCACCAAGATGGAAGAATGGTGTTTTTTTAGGTTGGTTTTAGAAAAACATGAGTTTTCTATTGTTAAAAGTATTAGATATAGATCTAATTGGTAGAATATATTGGTGAGGAAAAATTAGATTAAATATAGGATTTAATGAGAGAAGGAATTGAATGAGGTGAAAAATAGGGACCAAATTCAAAAATAGGGGTATTTTAATCAAGAATAGGATTGAAGATAGTGGGAGTTAATACCTAAAATATAAGGCTTAATAAGAGGGATTGAATGAGATGAAAAGTAGTAGTTCAAATTACATTTTTGGTCAACTAAAAGTTTCACATTATGGATTCCTGATTTTTATAAAAGTGCAATTTCTGGTGTAGGTTATTGATAAAAAAAAGGCAATTTCTGGTGTATTTTTTCTTTGATTTAATTGCAAGGGGAAGGGGAGTAATTCATGAATATTTTTAGCTCTGAGCTGGCATTGTAGGGAATAGGGGTGAGGATCAAAATATCATATGCACCGTTACCAAAAGTTGGGTATTGGCGCGTATTGATAGACTGATACTCTTGTTTATTTTTTATCTTATCAGCCTGAGAGTGATATATTTGTCATCCCAAACTTTTAAAACCCCCACACCCTGTATAAATTGGTGCATGCATGACCTTGGATATGGACATGATATGCTCAATATGGGGCATATCGTATTGATATTTTGATCCTTGAGTAGGGGCAAAGATATGCAGCTTATTAAGTACAATGGATGCCATATATTACAGTAAGTATGATGAGAAAGGCCCTTGGTTGATGACATTTCATGATCAGCATAACCAGAACCCAAGAGGATTGGCCAATTAGATTGGAAAAGCCTAATTGCCGGTTCCACTTGCCTACAGATACAGAATAACTTCTCAAAGCCAAGCTAGGGGCATCCCTACCTGATAGGTGGCAAGATGAAGCATATATGGTTTGTCATTATGCATATATAATCTTATATGTAATCAGCATTTTGAAAATTTAAATACTATTGCTAAGCAATATAAGGTACTGAATCAAATGGTTAAATCTGTTTTGTTTGTTTTATCAGATGAAGCATATATGTTTTCTCTTTCTAATTGGTTTACATATAACTAGTTGGGTAGGAGATAAGTAGAATGGGGGGAGAGAGGAGTAGAATGGACTAAAGTTTTGGGGTGATTTTTTTGATGTGAGGCCAATGCAAGTATTGGCATTATATTGTAAAGATATAAGTTCTTAAGTTAGTTATGGCCAATATTACCAAATAAAAAGAACTATTACCAACATGTTTACCTTTTCTGCACCATAAGCCATAGACATCATAAGTTTAAATGAAAAATGAATCCACTCATACATTGGTTCTTTAGCTCATTCACTAATGGTAAAAATAGAAATTGTCAGAAGCATGATTCCAATGTAATGAAAGCCCATCCTCTTAGCCCAGTGCATCTGTGTTTATTTTTGATAAATGTTGAAGAAAAATTGAATTGGGGGATGGGGGGAAGTTCAAAGATGTGTAAGAACATGGACATCTCCAAAAGAAGATTGAAACACAAGTATAAGGTGAAGATGATCATGTCATTTATCAAGGAAGAGAAGGCTTTACAATTATATGATCATTTTGAGGGCATTTGAGAGATGTGATAAAACCCAATTTGAATCTCACTGAATTACAGAGGAAGATTCCCCCGATTACTTGATTACAAGGAAAGAATGAAGAAAATGCAGGGAAAGAGAAAGGAAAGAGAGAGAAGGGGAAAGGAAGAAGAAGAGAAGTGAGAGGAAACTCAGATCTGGTTCTGTTATTCTTTGGCTAGCTATTTATACTCTCCCTTACAATGCATGACTCGTGAATGAGGCTTCTAATTAATTGAGCTGATGTGGCCTCCTGGAATATGCAAATCTGAGTGGTGGAGTTAGGTGCCTAATTCCTCCCTGGGCTGCAGCTAATTCCTTTGTAGCATGGGCCTCCCTTGTAGTCTGGGCCTGGACTGAGTTCTCTGGGCCTGGGTCAGAATGAGAGCTTCAGTTCCTATCAAGGTGTCTGATTGGTTTTACAGACCATGGAGGATTTGTAGAAAGTTGAACCATATCTAGTGTAGAGTGCAAAAGAAGCTAGGTTGTAGAAGGGTTTTAAAGATTTTGGAGGCTATTATATTTCTTACAAGAAAATGGATATAGGGCTTTCTCATGACTCTAGGCATTTACTCCTATGCAAAGGGGATTTATGGATGAAACATTTAAATGCAAGAGAAAATTGAGATCTATGCTTCTTTCTTTCTTTTCTTTTCTTTTCTTTTTTTTTTCAATGTTTCTAAGAATTCAAAGGAAAATGAGGATATTTTTGCATCAATTAGCCAAATTGTAAGATTTCATGATTTATTTCATTATTGTCCTAGTTATTATCTAACATGATGTCTGGTTCAGTTCTTAATTACTTCCAATGAATAAATTGGAAGTGTGCATGGCATCTTTGCCAACATATATAGAACAGTTTTATGGTTTATTAATCGACTTTTTGCGAGCTAGACCATACACCTTAACTAGAGGTTGAAAATTAGGGTTGAATGAAAAAGTTGTGTGGTTTAAGGAAAATGATCAAATTATTTCACTCTTTTATAGATGCATATGCTTACCTTTTACTGAATATCTGAGAGTTTTGACAATTGAATAATCAATATGTTCCAGTCATCTGTACGTAAGGTATTCAATTCTAGTTTATGCACAAAATTCATGAATCTTTTAATGGTGTCTTTCTTAATCAATCCCTCCACACCCCACACTGATGGTATTTTGAACAGAATTTCATCATCTTCAAGTCATATCCAATCTGTCATCTCAAATAATATATGTAGGGAATAAAAAAAAAAATTGGGCTTCTAGTGAATCTAGAGAAAGAATTGAAACAATGCTTCTGTAAGATTTGATTGCTGAGTGATAGTTATCTCCTGTTCTTATGGGAAGGCAACGGTTCTGTTTGTGCAAGTTTTGTCATGAAGCAATGTTGGCAAAAACATCTCACTTGGCACCCTTACAAGTGAGTCCAGGTCATTGGGCTGGTCCTCAGGGATCAGCTGCTGGAACTGGCTGATTGAATGGGTAAACTGATTTGTCGACATGGAAGAAGTGTTAAAAGGAGTTGACCAACATGAAGAAGTGGTGAACCATGACCTATGTTACTGACTTACTGATAAGAAAAAAAAAGTGTGACATCTGTTGGTGCATAAAGGAAGTGTCCACTAGAACAAGTGGTTTGGAGGTTGAGGATATATTTGGTGGTAGATCCTGCAAAATAGGGCAAAAAAAAAACATTATCTCAGTAACTAATGGAGGTTGTTATCACCTTATAATGACAAACATCACATACCTGCCCAGGAAGCAGAGTTTACATGGGGCTCAGTTTCAGTTTGTTTGTAGTGCGAATTTTGTTTGCACTTGTGTAAATGAATAGGAGTGCAAATAGGCCAAGTGTAAATTCTGGTTTTCTTTTGCTTCAGATTTGACTATCTTGCTTGTTTGAAAGAAAATGTTGTGGTCACTACCTTATACGAAAGGGAATGGAAGTAGGACTTGGGAGAAGGTTATTTGTTTGGGAGTGAGGTTGGAAGCAAGATATGGGTTCCCACTTTATATGAGATAGAATTGGAGGAAAGTGGTGCAAAGTTTGTATCTGTTTTTGGGATGCAAAATTTGCACTACCTGGTGAGGTGAGACAAAAAGTGCAAATTTTGTATCAGGTAGGAGTGCAATTCATAGTTGCAAACAAATGGATTCTAAACTGAACTGTGTGAAATTTGCATTCGGTTTAGTTTTGCATTGCCAGCAGAGCCAACTTTCAGACAGTGAGTGAAGTGAGATAATATTGGCTCAAAAGTAACACCTACCCACATCATAACAAAAGGCTAAAACCAGCGCCTTGCCTCAACCCCACAGGAAGCATGGCTGCTGGCATGAAGAATAAGAATCTTCCTTTCGGTAGTCTTGTTGATAGTCAGGTTTTAACTTGATTTCTGAAAAATGGAATAACATGCAATAGACATGGAACTCCTACTCACTGTGACTTAGGAAGTAAGGATCTTAAGATTTTTCTGAAAGAAGTATTTGTTACCTTCACACAAAATTGCCTATCTCGTTCCCTAAATCTTCATTTTCTTTGAAGTTTATTAGAAACATTGTCACATAAGGAACCTCTCTGAACAAGTCATTTCAAAACCAAACAAGAGTTCTATAAACCACCTCAACTAAATCAAACTTTGACCCTATCCTAGAAGGTGACCCAGCATGATGGTGTATCAACTGAAAAGCAACCTCAAAATACTCACCCAGAATCCCAATGACAATGAGATCCGATATTTTGTCCTTGTCATGCCAAACTCACTTACTGGTAACTGGTGCTAGACATGAACTAGTTCTTGGCATTGAGCAATTGCATAGTATTTTTTTTCTTCAGCAATATTCCAAAATGGTTCACCCCGAACTGACTTTTAGGTGCTGGATAGACTTGGACCAAAACTAGAATTGGATAGGAAAGACACTTGAATCTTTTCCAGTTCCGTACTGAATAGTCTGATTCTTCTACTGTCTCCAATTTATTTACTAATGCTAGGTTTTGATATCAGATGTTGGTGTCCATGATGCAGGTCTGTCTTTGGTCAGGCTCACTCTAGTGCTACTACAACTTCAGACAGGAAGAGGAAGACTACAGAATCCTAGTTCTATCTTGGATTAGGGGTATTGATCTTCCAGTTATTTATTAGCTTATGTTTAAAGTTCAATATTTTCTTTTTGGTAATTAAAGTTCAATTTATTTATTAATCCTTGTTTTTAATCTCCATGGCTGTCTCACGAGTTCCTCTGTTTCAACATAAACACTCACACTAGTTTGATTCAATTTGTGCAGCATAACAGGGTGAACTCCATGGAAAAAGGTGGCATATATATTTAATTACGTGGACTTCAAGTATCAATGGCCAGAGGAGTTTGACGAGTTTTGTGACCTCTGGCATCTTACGTGGCAAGATTTTAAATTGGAAACTCGTTCTCACGCATACATATATACCTAGCTGCAATATAACAGGAAAATAATGTTCATGGGTGATGTGATGTGGATTATAGCTGTGTCCTTTGTGCTTTTATGCCTTCTACAAAACATTCCTTTACCTTGGTATTTTGCCCTCTGTATAGCCACTTTTAATGCAGAGCACTGAAAACATGAGGTCACAAACCAGGCCTGTAATAAACGGTAAGGGCCCTTTTTTCCCAGTCCTAGCCTGTGAAATGAAGAACAGTGCTTCATATGACAAGAGAAACCTCAGCGGCTTAGCCCTTAGCCCCCTTTGGGTAAAACTATTAGAGGTTAGGTGTCAGACCCTTATCATTTTGACCCCGTGACATTAGGGATGTAAGGGAAATCTTTGCCATTAAGGAGGGTTATAGCAGGTCATTTTTGTTCCCCAACTTATGAGTCATATCTTTGAAATGCTATGGTTCTATGCAGGGTTCAAAGAATCAAACCATCGATATGTATTTGTTATGAGGATCATTGATATGCTAAATACAAGGATTTATAACAAGTGGCCTTATTTAACCGTTAATGCCCTACCCGGAGATGGCATGGTTCAGAGCTTGAAAGCTGAAAGCCTGATACAATTTCAATACGAGTATTGTGAATATTGATGTTTTGAAGTTCGAACTACTTTATGTATGTTTTTGGATCCATTAAGGATAAATTTTCTTTGGTGGCAAACCTAAAACCTAAGCCTAGTCAGGAGTGTTCACCAATGTGCATTTTATTTTCTGAAAGACAAACAAAACGAGCTGCTGCAAGAGCTAAAACAATACAAGTCAGTAGATAATTCGATTTGTTATCCCCTGGCCTGGGCAGTCGGATAATCAACCCCAGGTTCTCTTTGAAGATCATATTTTTTATGACAATTTTTCCCAATTTCCTGATCCCCGTGGGGATTTGTCTTACATAGAGTAGGGATGGGGATGGAGATAATTTTGTCCCTGTTAGCGAAGATGGAGATGAGAATGAGAGAGGCTTTTTATTCCCACCCTACCCCATTGCCATTCCTAAATTTTCCAAACCTGATGTGGGGCTTATTATATGAATTATCAATGAATTGGGTTTTAGCTAGAACCATGTGTCCTTATAACCCAATAGCTAAGTTGATCACTCGGTGTGGACTGTGGAGGCATGGGATTAAACCCGTGCGGTTGCAGCCTCTGGGGTAAGGTCATCGCATTTCCTCGTGCGTCTTGCTTTGTCTTATACAGAGGAATGGTCTCTTAGATGTTGATATTTAGTGATATGTCCCCAATCCCCCATAGGGTCCGTTTGGAATTTGGCCTCTTAGATGTTGGCATTTGGTGATATACAAGGGGATGGATTCAACCAGCATACTGCAATCGTCAAGGATTGAGATAATGGTAATAAACCGCGGAGGAGTATAGTTTTCCTCCAACAGGGATTTGATAATAGGGGATTTTACAGTTGGGGATAGGTGCCAGCTTAGAATTGATGCTAATTCACGGGTGGGTATGAGTGTTAATAGGGAATTGTTTATAATTTTGAGTTGTTGTAGATCTGCAGTTCAAATCAAAATTCTGAGGTAGAGTGCAGTCTAAAAATCCCTTGATAATATTAAGGGAGTCTCCCTCAAGAACTACATTTGAAAGGCCTAACTGTAAAGCCAATTATAAACCTTCCAAACAAGCCAATGCCTCTATTTCCTCAACTGAAACCCAAGGTAATCAATCCTCTTCTTACCCGGACCTACCACAAAACTAACTTTATAGTCTCTAATAACCACACCTGTTCCAAAGTAAGAAAGGTGTAGAGCCATCAACATTTATATATATAAGCCGTGAGGTCAAAAATCGACACGCATCATACAATATGCACCTATGGCTGAGTTTGGAAGGAGTACAAATGCAAATATGTGCAAAACCTTATATTTTGTATTATTTTATTTGTATTTATGCTGTACATATTTGTTTTTGTACTCTTTCCAAACTATATGTTTCAAGATTTTTAACCTTGATAAACATTAAAAATAAAAATAAACACAAATGGTGTTATAACTTTGATGGGAATGCACAATTTGTCACTGATCTACCTCATTTTTTAATAAAAGGGAAAATTCCCGATTAGTACCCTGTACTTTGGGCCTAGTGCCACTTTTGGTCCCCAAACTTTAAAATGCGACAACTTAGTACCCGATTCAAAACATGGCAATCCAATACCTGTAGTTAACTAGCTGTTAACCAGCCGTTAAGTGACATTTGAAAAAGATACATGCCCTTTGAATGTCATCTAATTTTCTTTATCAACCATCCAAACATTGACAAAAAATTAAGTCTCAAATCCTTGCCTCTTCTATTCAAGAAAGTTGGGATCACTAGAATGCTCATTCAAACATGACCCCAACTTTCTTGAATGGAAAAGACAAAGATTTGAGACCGTTAATTTTTTTGTCAACATTTAGATGGTTGATAAAGAAAATTAAAGGGATAATAGCATATAAGGGCAACTTTTGGGCCCTAATATTAGTAAAAGTATTATTTAAAAAAAATAATAAAAATATGTTAACTTTTGAAAAATAATATCAATTAAGGAGAAAAACATTATTCATCTTCTTCCTCTTGCAATCTATTCATCAGTGCCGCCACCCACCTTCATCCGCCATGCCTCTTGCAATGCCTCTGCCTATCTCCACCCACCTCTGCCTCCACCTTCATTAACATTGTTAGAGGTGGGCGGCGGCGGCACTGGTGATCATTCCTCTACCCAACGTCGCCACCTCCGTCCACCAGCGCCGCCGTCATCGCCTTTATCTCCACCCACCTCCAACAACATTGCCGGAGGTGAAGGCGGAAGTGGGTGGAGGTGGCGGCAGACGGCAACACTGGTGAATAGATTGCAAGAGAAAGAAGATGAATAGTTCTTTTACCCTTAATTGATATTATTTTTAAAAATTTAACTTACTTTTGAAATGTTTTTAAAAATATTACTTTTACTGATATTAAGGCCCAAAAGTTGTCTTTATGTGCTATTATCCTAAAATTAAATAACACTTGAAGGACATTTATATTTTTTCAAATACCACTTAACGACTGATTAACAACTGTAGGTAATAGATTGTCATGTTTTAAAAGTTTGAATACTTAATTTTCGCATTTTAAAGTTTGGAGAACCAAGTGACAGTAGCCCAAATTACACGATACTAATCAGAAAATTTCCTTAAAACGGAATCAGTTCGGTTCAAACACCGGCCCAAGTCATTTGTAGCCTCGTCAACCTTGCAGGATTCATTCAATTTTATGGTTGACAAAACTATATACCACGTGGCGAGTCATAACTCTTTAGTGGTAAATGTGATCTATACAGTACAACAAATAATCAAGTAATCAAGCAGTTAATGTAGGTTCAGATTTAATACTATTTGACACGTGTTCTTTATGAAGTAAGCAGGAACGAGATTTTCATTTCTAAGATAAGACCAAAAACTGTGGGCCCATCTTGACAGGCTGATAGACACGTTGACTCTGCACAAGCCCACTTTGACCCAGGTTCAGGAAACGTGTCAACTCCAAGCATCACCCCTGGCCCACCTCTCCACCTGTCCGGCTGTCCCTCCATTCTCCCCACCGCTTTAACTGCTACTCTATTCCCAAAGTTCTTTCTAGAATTGAAAAAAAAAAGGAAACCACAATATTCCCAAAATATCCTCCAATGAGATCAACCAAGCCACACGTAAACCGGGAATCTCAAAGCATCTCACATCACCTGCCTTCCATTGGCATCTTCGTAAATATCACGTAATTCAAAGGCTTTTACAAAAGTTTAAAGTTCCATGATGTACTCTCCAGAACTCTCTAGCTGAATCATCTCTTCTGTTTTCGACTCTGTTTTCTTTCCTTTCTCTCTGGTTTTTACAATCTTCCACTCAAATCTCGAACATTCTTGGCTAAACCTCCTTAACCCACCTATAAAAGTCTCACCTTTCTCCGATGAGTTTTGTGGAAAAATTACACATTAATCACCCAAGTAAGCTCTTTAGCTTCTGCTTTTGATCTCTGTTTCTCGCTTTCTTCTGGTTTCGACGTTGGATTCAGCAAGCTAGCGCCAGTAATGGCTAAAACAGAAGGCAAAGCGATTGGTATCGATTTGGGTACCACGTACAGTTGCGTCGGAGTGTGGCAGAATGACAGGGTTGAGATCATCGCCAATGACCAGGGTAACCGGACGACTCCCTCTTATGTCGCCTTCACAGATACCGAGAGGTTGATCGGTGATGCGGCCAAGAACCAGGTCGCCATGAACCCGTCCAACACTGTCTTCGACGCTAAGCGACTCATTGGTCGGAGATTTTCTGACCCATCTGTGCAGAGTGACATGAAGCTATGGCCTTTCAAGGTTATTTCCGGGCCCGGTGACAAGCCGATGATCGTTGTTCACTACAAGGGAGAGGAGAAGCATTTCTCTGCTGAGGAGATTTCTTCGATGGTGCTGATCAAAATGAAGGAAATTGCCGAGGCGTTCTTGGGTCAGACCATCAAGAACGCTGTGGTCACCGTGCCGGCCTACTTCAACGATTCGCAGAGGCAGGCCACGAAAGATGCTGGTGCGATCTCTGGGCTTAATGTGATGAGGATTATTAACGAACCCACTGCAGCTGCGATTGCTTATGGATTGGACAAGAAGTCGTCGAGGTCCGGCGAGCACAACGTTCTTATCTTCGATTTGGGTGGTGGGACTTTCGATGTTTCACTGTTGACGATCGAAGAAGGTATCTTCGAAGTAAAGGCCACCGCTGGAGACACTCATCTGGGTGGAGAGGACTTCGACAACCGCCTTGTCAACCACTTCGTTGCAGAGTTCAAGAGGAAGCATAAGAAGGACATCAGCGGCAACGCGAGGTCTCTCAGACGGTTGAGGACTGCATGTGAGAGGGCCAAGCGAACTCTGTCTTCGACTACGCAGACGACCATTGAGATTGATTCTCTCTACGAAGGTATCGACTTCTATTCTACGATTACTCGTGCTCGGTTCGAGGAACTGAACATGGATATGTTCAGAAAGTGCATGGAACCGGTGGAGAAGTGTCTTCGGGATGCGAAGATCGACAAAAGCCAAGTTCATGAGGTCGTTCTAGTTGGTGGGTCGACTCGAATTCCCAAAGTCCAGCAACTGCTTCAAGATTTCTTCAATGGCAAAGAGCTCTGCAAAAGCATCAACCCCGACGAGGCTGTGGCGTATGGGGCTGCTGTTCAGGCTGCAATTTTGAGCGGTGAGGGCAATGAGAGGGTCCAGGATCTGTTGTTGCTGGATGTCACGCCTCTGAGTCTGGGTCTAGAGACCGCCGGTGGTGTCATGACAGTCTTGATTCCGAGAAACACCACCATCCCCACCAAGAAAGAGCAGATATTCTCCACTTACTCCGACAACCAGCCCGGCGTCCTCATTCAGGTCTACGAGGGTGAGCGTGCTCGAACCAAGGACAACAACCTGCTCGGCAAATTCGAACTATCCGGCATTCCACCGGCACCCAGAGGAGTCCCACAAATCAATGTCTGCTTCGACATTGATGCAAATGGTATTCTGAATGTGACTGCAGAGGACAAGACGGCCGGAGTGAAGAACAAGATTACGATCACAAATGACAAGGGTAGGCTGAGCAAGGACGAGATTGACAAAATGGTTAAGGATGCGGAAAGATACAAGGCAGAGGATGAAGATGTGAAGAAGAAGGTAGAGGCCAAGAATGCATTGGAGAATTACGCTTATAACATGAGGAATACTGTGAAAGACGAGAAGTTCGCCGGGAAATTAAACCCAGCAGACAAGGAGAAGATTGAGAAGGCGGTTGATGATACGCTGCATTGGTTGGAAGCAAACCAGTTGGCAGAGGTAGAGGAGTTCGAAGATAAATTGAAGGAATTGGAGGGGTTGTGTAACCCGATCATAGCAAAGATGTATCAAGGAGCTGGTGGAGATGTGCCCATGGGAGGTGATGACGCTGGGTATAAGGGTGGCTCTGGTACTGGTGCTGGGCCAAAGATTGAAGAGGTTGACTAGGGCGGAGTCTGGAGTTGGGAGGTCTTTAGGTTGTGGGTGCTCTGTTTCAGGAATTTGGTTGCTTTGATATTGATCTTGCCTGTTAGGAGTTAGGATTTGATCTTTGTTCAGCTTTAATTCACTGAGTTTGTTCTGCTTTGGTTTAAAATATAATTAGCATCAACATATGCCAATGTTTCTCATATAATTCACTGAGTTTGATCTTTGTTCTGCTTTGGTTTAAAATATAATTAGCATCAACATATGCCAATGTTTCTCATATAATTCACTGAGTTTGATCTTTGTTCTGCTTTGGTTTAAAATATAATTAGCATCAACATATGCCAATGTTTCTCATATAATTCACTGAGTTTGATCTTTGATCATGCTTCCGTGCTCCACATTGAAATAGGGCGATCATTTTCAGGTTGCCCGGCCCAATAATTATGGGCTTGGGCTTAAGTTTATGTTCAGGCTTAGAACCTACATTAAGCCCATAAATATCTGGTCCATCATGTAATGGATTTAATTACTTAGATCCAAAGCCCGGTTCGGCCCATGGTCACCCTTGCATCGAATTCTGAAAGGTAAAATAGTGAGGGATGGTCGGCCCATTTCGGGGAATCCGGATCTCCTGCACAGCGTCACATGAGTGAAAGATTTGTGTGTGCAAAGTGTTTAAAAGATGGCTTAGCCGACAATGCACAGTTGTGTGGATTCTGAATTTTAAGAGGTTATTTTGTACTTATCATTTCTTATCCTCATTAACCCTGAACACCATTGTTCTCACGTATAAATTTCAATAATGTTTAATATTAAATTATTTAAAGATTTTTATTTAAACACGTGATAAAAGGTTTTTTGCTTCAAATTTTGACTAGTGCTGTAATTTGGGCTTAGGCCCAACCTGAGGAGAGACGATTTCATCTATTGGCCATGAATTAAATTTGGGTTGGGCTTACGAAATCTGTATATATTTAAGGGAAAATTTATAAAGACATCTCCGTTACTACAATTAAAAGCTTTGTTCTTTGTGTAAGGATCCAGCAACGCCCATAACATATCTAATGCTCTGCGTTCATATCCGCATTTGATGCATCTCTTCTAAGCAACTTTTGTACTTGGAACCTCAACGATATATCCTCGTGCTTCAGATGGTTGCATAGACGTAGAGCATCTCAATTACGTTCATCAAGCTAGAGAATCCAAAGATATGCCCAGAACGGTGGATTAACCAAGGTTTTCGGTCCGAATGGAAAAAAAAATTAAAAAACCCAAAAAATGGTTAGAAATTGTTCTCGGGCTGAATGGTTTGACAGTCCGATTGCCTTGTTGGGATCGATCAAATCAACCCTTCCTTCTTCTACACCTCTTCCAAGAAGATTTCCTCCAAAGTATAGTGAAAATTGAGGATGTTTAACCTGGGGAGATCCTCGTGGAAGGGGAGATTGTGGGGTTCAATCTTATCAAAGGACACGAAGGGGCTGACATAGTGCTTGAGGCCAATCTAGAGGTAGAATTGCTGGAACTACCCAGCACGAGAGTGGCAACGATAACCCCTAACTGTGAACATCCTTCCTCGTGACTATGAACTAGCGGCAACAATAACCCCCTCCACCTCCGACCCCTCTTTCTCTCTCTATCCCATTTTTCCTTTCCCCTCATTCTCTCTCTATCCCTTTTCTTGTATCGTCACTGCTGTTGCAACGACAAATTTGGATTGATGGTAACCGGTGGCAATTGACATGTTATCTATAAAGTGGTTTCAATCATGGGCGGTGATTCTTGCCTGACTTATAAAAGAGGAACGAGGGGCGAGGGGTTATATTGAGTTTTTAAATTATTTTATATGTCGCATGGTGGGATACTAATGATAGGGATAAATTTAGTCAATTGTCAAAAATAATAAAGCTGGTTTAAAACAATAATTAAATAATAAGAATATAGTTTATGAAGGTAATTTAAGAAATTAAATTTGCCATTTATAATTCAAAACGTTAGCCAAAACTATCAAGACAGGTTACAGGTTATGTAAGATGACAGTACTATTAAGATTCGTTTAAAGCCCTCTTGTCATCACCAACATAGCGTAAGACTGTATCTTCTGCAAATTTGCGATTATTATCATTTAGTGAAGGAGGTAAATAATCCAAAACAATTTGTGTTTGGTTGTAATGCAAATAAATTTATATTGGTGCCAAACCATGGCAGTTGCAAATGATTTGAATATAAATTTTAACCTATTTTTTCATTTGAGTGCAGTACAAATGAAGTAATTAAGACATAAATAAGAATAAAGTATAGTCCAAAACAAAATTAAATAAGAATTTGCATTTTTTACATTTACATACTCATACATTTGTACTGCAACCAAACAGAGTCATAAAAACGAAAAATGACAAGACTTACCAAAACAAAAGAATGGTTTTCAAAATTCGAAGATGAAACATCAACATGACCGCATAGCGCAGTGGATTAGCGCGTTTGACTTCGGATCAAAAGGTCGTGGGTTCGACTCCCACTGTGGTCGATTCGATTCTACGTTCATATTTAAAATTAAAAATATTTTTCCTACCTACACCCCATGCAGCCCCAAACAGTGGACATCTCGAATAGATTCTCCTAATTGCTGTCTTCATGTTTTGCTGCCCTGTAAGGGGCCATTTGGTAACGGCTTCGATGGACGAAGTAAACAACTTCTTACTTTGCTTTTAGTGGATAAAATAATTAAATGATAAATTTTTTTAGTAATAAAGAAAGAACTTATATTATTTACCCAAAAAATTAAAAAATGAAAAATTTATGTTGGTAAATGATAAGAAGTATAGGTTTCACTTGCAAGCACTTCAAAATCCTATGTAAGAGAAAGAGGTGGCTGAAGTTTGATGTCTAAAAAGTCAAGAAGCTATTATTCAGGTCTAAAGTCTAAAAAGAAGAAATTATTTTCTACTTTTTAAAGGCCCTAAACAAGATAAGATCGTTTGAGTTCGAGCAATTCTTTAACATATGAAATATTATTATTTATTTACATTAAAATGATATCATTTATTATTTTACAATAATAATTATTATTATTACTAATATTGTTAAATAAATATTATCACTGATATTATTATTTATTAAATAAAGAAATAATAATATTTATTAATTAATACTAAATATTTATAACAATATTGATTTATTATAATTAAACCATATTAATTAGATTATTAATAAACATATTATTATTAAATAGATGACAATAATGAGCACATTGATGTCATTTTATCATGTCTGAAAGGCATCTGATTTTGGTAAGACATGAAACCAGATCTTACCATTTTAGATTTGAATTTGTGTTTTAGATCCTCTAATTAAACATACACCCAAATACCAATGGGGTTTGAAAAGCAAAATTTTCAAACCTTAAATGTTTGAAAAGTGTTATCAAACACCACCTAAGAAAATGCTAATCTCATTGTTGCCTAATAGTAAGTTGATAGAATTGCAACGATATTTGCAAATCTCAATTAACAATTAACAAATCTCAATATCAGTTTACCTAATTTGGAGCGTTTATTGATTGAAATATCTTGGAAAAGGTTCTTTTTGAGGTGAATAGCAATCCAATATTGTCAACATTTTTCAGTGATGAAAGGCGAAATTTTCTTTGGCCTATAGTGAATCAATGGTGTTGGGGTGATCCAGAGATTGGGATCAATGAAAATGTATAATTCCTATTTTGTCTAGAAATGATTTTTGGTCATGTAGCCACTCTCACAAAGAAAGGTGATTATGTTATTAGAATCTAGTTGGAGATACTTCCAAAGAAAAAATGGTTCTAATAAAAAATAGGTGATAGTGGAAAACAAGAGGAAGAACAAGAATTCCAAATCCAGTTGGAGTACAAAAAATCGTTTTTGGTAAACAAAAGTGGAGCTATTTCAAGAGAGAAAGAAACAATAGGATATATAATGCGAGCTCCTACATGGGTGTCACGGTACCATGCCTTTAAATTATGATTTTTTTATCTGATTGGCGTGAGGACTTTATCATTGGTTCCACAACCCATTAAAGCTATTGTGTCTAGCTAATCCTTACTCAAATGACAAATGATAAATCTCTAAGTACAATTGAAAACTATGTAGGGTTTGGTTGTACTACTCAACCATGTTAGTACATGAGCTAACAAATGAGAAATAAAATTAATAGTCTCTCTCTATATAGTTAAATATAGATATCCAATTCAGAATGTTCATCAAATGGGGCCTTTTGGATTGCCTTTGTGTTGTCTTACTTATCATGTTGTTATTCATTCCATTGACAAATTTTCAAATATGTTGTTTGTTATGTTTGTTATATTTGAGATTGGGATTAGCATGAGGATTGGTCTATTTTCTTTTACTAATCTTCTTATTTTAGACATTCAATTATCTTTCAGATCTAGGAGTAGAATCAAATAACCTAGGTTCAACCTCTAGAGATTGGGATGGTTCAGCTCATTGAGTATTTGGCAAGAATGAATGGTGACCACGGAGGTAGCCATCAGTATGAGACTCCATTCACTGGAGTTCATCTTGGTCATGAGTAGAATATATACAAATATAAATGAAGTTAATAAAAAAAAGGTGAGGAATGGCCATTCAAGATATCGAGGTGTTCTCACAAGATACAGAACCAAATTGAGAAGAGTGATTGATTAAAAGAATAAATTAACCTAATTATAAAAGTGAAAAAAATAATAATAAAGAAATAACAAAGAAAAAATACAGAGATCTTAACTCAACTCGATAGCTATCTTAATAACACCCACATCAGTCGTTCAGATCAATGTTTTAGAGACTAAATTGGTTTAGATAAAGTTTGTCCCCCTGTCTAAGTCAATATAAAACTTAATAAAGAGATCTATCAGATAAAAAGAGAAATAAACAATTAGAGATCATCAATTGGAAATGAATCACCAAGTACATAAAGGGCCCGATCCAGCATAATGTATACAAGCAACCATAGATTTAATTTCCAACACTCCCAACTATGATGTGCTGGATGGACATAAACTGACTGTAAGGAAAAAGACTAGAGGTAGTCCTTTTACAACTTAACTGAAATAAACAATTATATTTCAAGAGCATGTTTTAATTTTTATTGATGTGGCAATTTGCAAAACAAATGGAAACAAAAACATTTGAAACATGGCATTAATTCTCAACTCCAAAAGCATTAATTTTTTATCATTAAAGAATGGTCCCAACTTCTTATTCTCCACTTCTTTCTTCACCAAGTCCAAAATACTACTACTTGTAGCAGATTCACCAAATCCACCTACCATCACCTCGGCATTCTACACCTCACCTGCAATTATAGTAAACTTCCCTTCATTTTT